TAAAAATTCTTGAATTTTATAATCTAAAAAAGGAATATATCCTAAGAAACCCAAGACAGCAATCAGAAAGAATATATGCACTCCTATGTTTATAATAGCATTTATTTACAATAGCTAAGATTTGGAAACAGCCCAAGTGCCCATCAGCAGAGGAGTGGATAAAAGAGCTGTGTTACATTTACACAATGGAATACTATGTGGCAGTAAAAAAAAGAAGGAACTCTTACCCTTTGCAACAGCATAGATGGACCTGAAGAGTATTATGCTAAATGAAATAAGCCAGTCAGAGAAAGATAAGATCACATGATCTCAGTCATATGTGGAATCTAATGAATAAAATAGATCCAGAGACAAAAAAACATGGAACAGACTGACGAATTTCAGAGGGAAGGCAGGGATTGTTGGGGAGAGATTATCGGGGGAACTTATATGCATACTAGAGGCCCGATGCACAAAAATTCGTGCAAGAGTAGGCCTTCCTTCCCTCATCTGCTGGCACCGGCTTCCCTCCTGCACCCAGGACCCGGGTTGCTTCCTTTCAGCCGCCGCCGCCAGGCACCCGGGACCTGGGCTTCGGTCTGGCCCTGGCTTCGTCCAGAAGGACATTCGGTCTAATTAGGATATTACCCTTTTATTATTATAAACTAGAGGCCCGATGTACAAAGATTCATGCAAGAGTGGGCCTTCCTGCCCTAATCGGTTTGGCTCAGTGGATAGAGTGTCGGTCTGCAGACTGAAGGGTCCCAGGTTCAATTCCAGTCAAGGGCATGTACCTTCGTTGTAGACACATCCCCAGTAGGGGGTATGCAGGAGGCAGCTGATCGATGTTTCTCTCTCATCTATGTTTCTAACTCTCTATTCCTCTCCCTTCCTCTCTGTAAAAAATCAATACAATATAAAAAAAAAAAAAAAGAATGGGCCTTCCTTCCCCTGGCTGCCGACACTGCCATTGCTCCAGCCCGGAGCCGCCTTTCCGACTTCCCACACTGCCCAGAGGCCCAGAGTGGCTGGGGCGGTGCAGAATGCCTGCATCATAGCCATGGCGACGACACAAGCATCCCCCGCCCCGCTGCCCCTGGCCACGCAGTGCCTGTGTATGCAAATTAACCCACCAGCTTTGAGTTAATTTGCATACTCACTCCTGATTGGCTGGTGGGCGTTGTGAGGATATGATCAATTTGCATCTTTCTCTTTTATTAGTGTAGATATGCACAGCCCATGGACACAGACAATAGTGTGGTAAAGACCTGGGAGGGGTGGGTGTCGGGTGGAGAGGGTTAATGGGGAAGAAAAGGGGGACATCTGTAATACTTTCAACAATACAGATAAATTTAATAGAAAGTATACCAATATTAAACTAATCATAATGTTATATGTTAAAATGCTATTCCAGGGGTGTGAATAAAACATCATCAGAAGAAGACGATTTGATTCATTTTGTACCTTGGAAAAACAGATAAGAAGAGGTCATAAGAGGCTCTTTACAGGATGAGACTTTGTATCTGAGTGGGGCTTTGAAGGATCAAGATTTTGTCATGTCAAGACTGAGGAAAAGGCATTCCTGATAGATAGTAAAACAAACTATATGTAAGTGTTCTTAAAATAGAGCCTGGTAAGCTAATGTTCAGTAAATTAATGAGCAGACATATTGCATGAAATGATCAAGGAAAGATGAGTGGCTAGATGAAAGGGGATTGGAGTAGGGGTGATGAATGCCATGAGAGAAAGATTAAAACAGTTCAAACATCAACCTATCTATGTTGCTCTTCCGCTTAAACTCAATCCTTTTCCACTACTGTGCTATTGTAGGAGCCTCCCTCCCAAATTCTTAGCTTAATCTCTAAATTCTATCTGTGGTGTTTCCAGGATGGAGCTTTCAGAAATACAGATCTGATTATATTGTTCTCCTTCCCACATTTCAGTGCTCCTCATGGCATTCATCTCCCAATTTATAATTCCTGTCCATAAGATCTTAAACTCCCAAAAGGATTAATTTGCAACTAATTTATTTTATTAAAATAGCTTCTAAACAAAATTTAGCTAATTTATATTATTAAGAGATGGGGGAAATAAATAAAGTGAGGTCACAAGCCATAATCATTCACTTCTGTGAATTCAAAAGGTTTGATGCAAAATTTAAGGATTATATACAATTAAGCTAAACATACTTAAATATGTAAAATATAGCACATATGGTTCAAGTGACACAAAATCTTTAAAATTGATTGCTGTCGGTATAGAATCTTCCCTGGATATACTAAAAAAAACCCCCCAAAACTGCCCTCTCTCAACCCCCATGTAGTAGTAAAACCTCAATCAAGAATTTAATGACAGCCCTAACTGGTTTGGCTCAGTGGATAGAGCGTCAGCCTGCAGACTGAAAGGTCCCAGTTTCGATTCCGGTCAAGGGCATGTACCTTGGTTGTGGGCACATCCCCAGTAGGAGGTGTGCAGGAGGCAGCTGAGTGATGTTTCTCTCTTATCAATGTTTCTAACTCTCTATCCCTCTCCCTTCCTCTCTGTAAAAGAATCAATAAAATAAAATTTAAAAAAGAATTTAATGACAGACTTGTTTAATGACTACAGTTCTGAGTAAACTGAAAATCTGCAATTATCATACTGTTAATTGACATTTGCTTTTTAAAGACTAACACAGGTTAAAATAGCATTTTATATATGTAAAAAAGATTCCTTGGAATTATATAATTACAGTTACCACATCTTCCTATTCCTTTGGTGTATTTCTAGGGAACAATTTTGTTCTTTATTTTAAGATATATGGTTCTGGGCCAGAAAGCACTCTGGATTTAGAATGAGAAAACTTAATGTTAAGTCCTGCTTTACTCTGCTACTTATTAAATAGGTCAAATCATTATCTTCTCCTAGCATCTTCTATATGAAAAAAAACCTGAGTTAATAATACCTTAATTACTTCACAGGGTTATTTGCAAATTGTATATATGAAATCATTCCAGCTTTAAACAATCATTGGTCACTATTTAATAAACTCCTAAAAAGCACAGTTATTTCTGTACCATCTCAATATTAAAATTCTTCTACTTTTGAAGACGGGGAACAAGATTTAGGGAATTAACAACTATTACTTTTCATCCTTCTATTGTTAGAAGAACCAATAGGGAAGCAGGAGAAAATATGCTCAGACGAACCCTTGGCAAACCACCAGTTCATCCCTGGAAGGAGATCTGAGAGAATGTCTAGTGTCTGGTGACACTAAGTGAGAAGCCCTCAATGAACCATTATCTCTAAGAGCAGAAACAGGGCAAAAGGATAGATACTAAGTTATTCATGCGATCTATGTGCCCCCTTGATTTCTCAGGAATCTTACCCCTAGATTAGCTGTCTTTTGAAAACAGACTGTGAAAAACAATAGCAGTTGGCAACCTTTTTTCCCTTAATGCAAAAATATATTTTACTTGGTTGGTATCATGTAATTAATGAATTTACTCATTAACAAACAAAATTAACACAAATGTTATAATCTAAATCTACTTTACTATTTATACAACTTAATAATTTCAAAATATCACTGGTCAATTAAAATTTTCAAATTCTGAATGTGAAAAATAGCCTACCATTTATTCTAAGCTGCACTCACAAACCCTTCATATTACCTTGGTCTCAAAATGATCTGGACAAAGTCTATTTATATGTCACTTTCATTTTACTTCCTAAATATATAAACTGAAACAATAGATAGTTCCGATTTATAACTTTTTAAAAAACTAAAGGAAACCAAACTTACTGAAATTCCTAATCATTTCATGTATTTTTAAATGATTAAAAATTCTCCAATAAATAAACTGATGTCATTATTGTTACTGCATAAAAACAAAGTGTTCTCTGCAAGAGAACACCTTACAGTACTCAACACAAAAACTTAAGGAAATAAACTCGACTTTTGACCCTACAGCCTAAGTCACAACATTTCTCATCAGAATGATTAATTTTTACAAAAAGACAGGAAAACAAGACAGAGCCACCCACTTTGATATTCTCATTCTTTGAAAAAAAAAATCCCAATTGAGCTCATGAACTGGAACCATCATTTTGCAAAAAGTATGTGATCCATCGAGAGTACATTTTGATTATAAGATTAACAAGATCATTATCTTTCTTATTCTTTGCACCGAGAAAACTGTACTGACATTAAAAAGTGGTTCTAGCTTAGTTTTACTTAGAAATCTGATAAACTTTTGCCCAGGAACCAACTAACCTTTAGTAACAAGGTTACTTCATTTTTTTTCCCTTTTCTGGTTACTTGAAAACATATAAACAACAAAATATAACTTTTAAAAAACCTACTCCATTGATACAGAACTCATTTTTGTGCAGCCTTGCTATATCCATTGAGTAGAGAATGGAGACTATGTGTTTTTCAGTTAAGATATTAAGCATCCTACAGCTCTTGTAAGCCAGTCTCGTGTGTGTGTATGTGTGTGTGTGTGTGTGTGTGTGCATTTGTGTCCATGCTCAAGCACCTGTGTGACTGCTTAAGTAGTAAAGCAAAAGGATCATTTTAGACACATGGAGAGGGAGAGAGAAAAAAGTGTGAATAAGCAGGAAGAGATTTTTTTTTCTGCAGGCTCAGGGAGTCTGCTGTTGGCTATGAGTAAAAGCTTTAATCTAAAAGGAGCCAAAATTTGAGATGATTCTTAAAGATTTGGGTTTTATGCCTTTGTGTCATTATTTTTCCCTCTTACTTTTGAATAACTTAGGTGGGGAGTAAATCAGCTCTAACCTTGAGAAAACTTTGCTCTAGAGGAAAGAAGAGAGTATTAAATTAATTATTCAAGGTGAGTTATGAGAAGGACAAGAGTCATTCAAAAAGCAGGGTGGGATGAAAATAGGGAAGGAATATGGGAGGGGAGGGCAAGAAGAGGGAAAAGGACAGGAAAGCAAAAGAAGAGGGTGCTGAGAAAGTAGTTTGGAAACTAAATTGATAAAAAAACCAACTTGTCCATTTAACATAATTCACTTACCTGTGTTATTTTTTCTATTCCTTGAAAGTTGTGCTTTTCAAAATGTTCTGCTATATTTAGGAAGGTGTGACATTGTAGGTAGCAGCAATTACTTAGGACTATCAAAAGTTGTTGTTCCTAAAAGTAAAACAAATTTTTATAAAATTACATTTATATTAACAAATTTAAAGTCTAACAGTTACCATTAAACTTAATTATAATCTCTTGGTGTTTAATATCAATATTCAACATTTCGGTTTCCTTGACTCCATCTTTCCCAATATTAACACAGAGAGAAACATTAATACAATTCTATAATTTTCAATGCTCATTATTATATAATACAGATTCAAATAATGTTCCTTTTGAAATTTAACAGCTATAGAGAGAAATAGGCTGATGAAAAACAGTTAACTAAAGTAGAATCAGCTGTAGTTCAAATAAAAGGGATTCATGTTATTAGTTATTCTACTTAATACTTTGTGCACAAAAAGCTAAAAATGGATATTTTTAAGCTATTACAAAAACTGTGGAAACTCTTAGAAAATAGTTTATAAGAAAATTATAATACAATCCATGAGGGCTCTTTTAAAAATGTGGAACTTCACAGAATTTTTTATGTACGACAGTCTCCCTCTTTTGGGGAGTGAAGGCACACAGGGTAGAAGACTCCTGCAGTGTCAGTAATAGAGAGGACTAGAGCCCTATATTATATACTCACCAGAGTTGTAGCTGTTTAAAGTCATTTCTAATCAAAATTACAGACCCCAATGCTGATAAATAAACCATCTTTTACTGTTCAGAAGAACTATTTTTGTAAATAAAATTCCAAGAATGGTATTTGTCACTGCTATTGAGGCTCACAGAGAGCACTTTCCCGGTGCTCCCTCAGTTATAAGAGCATTATCTGGACAAATGTGACTAATTTAGGGCCTTAGTTTAAGATCTCTTGACTAAAAACGAAGGCAAAAACCACTTTCCAGGAAAAGTGCTCACCCATATTTGTTTCCTATTTCATATGTAATCAGAATAACTTATGTTAAAGTCAATATGATAAACATGGAAATAGGCCTCTGTCCTTTGACGTATACAAACCACAGAATAAACTTTTTTTCCATATTATTTTGTGTGTTTTTTTTGTTTGTTTTTTTCTTTATTGATTAAGGTATTACATATGTGTCCTTATCTCTCCATTGCCCCCCCCCCCATGCTCTCACCCCCCTGTTGTCTGTGTCCATTGGTTAGGCTTATATGCATGCATACAAGTCCTTTGATCTCTCCCCTCCTTACCCCCACCCTCCCCTCTTTAAACTCACTTGCCAAGCACAAATTATATCTCCCAATAATTTCATTTGGGCCCCTCAAATTTTTAAAAACTTTCTAAATTTTAAAAATGTTTATTTAATATGTTCATATACTTAATATGTTCCTCTCTATTTCTGGCGGAGTGTAGTCTAGTCAATGCCTTTTTTGGTCATCAACAAATATAATTAAAAGACCAAGGAATTATTAAGGTACCTTCAAGCAAATGAAACACTGTTAATAGTCCTCATAATCTATAGGTGGGAAATGGAGTACAGAACAAGGTAAAGAGGATTATGGCATGTAAGCTCCTCCCACACTTGTGTTTAAATGACAAGTAAAAATCAGAAAGAGAGCAATGAACAGCTCTGGAAAGGTGCACAGGTGAGGCTGGGAGGCCATATTCCCTATTGCCCCAGACTTGGTGTTACTCTTATGTGGTCCTTGTACATAAAGCACATGAAATAAAGTAAATATGTCTTACCAGCCACTCTAAACATGCTGCACTCCTTGAAATTCTCATCTGGACTCCCAGTAATAAATTCAATTCTTAACTGCCTTATCCATCATCTTCCTTCAGAATATTAGCCTTATCTAGGAGTTCATCATACCCATAGTAATTAGCTCTCTTTAGTTGAAGAAAAATAGTTCTTCCCCTCAAATGGAAAAACTATTTGAGTGATCTAAAGTTTTACCCTTAGTGTTTTCCCACTCCCCTCTAATCTAACCAATTAGGAGATGTAATATATATATATATTACACACACACACACACACACACACACACACACACACACACGTATTTTGGTTTTGCCATGGAATTTTGTGTTCAAATAAAATGCTATTATGGAACTGACAGAAATAAAATAGAGAAAAGCAGAGTCTCTCTGGTTAAAAAGAAAACGTGCAGGGAACAGGCATCTGTCCTTTGTCTCCTCTCCAACTTTCAAGCACCAGGGACCTACTAGGACACGTAGTTCACACAAGAACATGCAAAATGTGGAGAGTAGAAGGAACTAGTTAAGTTGCAACTTGAGCTAAAAAGATTTTAAGTGTAGAATATATATAAAATTCTATATTTTTTAACATTTTCACAAAATAAAACACAATGCTACAGCACTAATGTAGTAGGTAATTTAGATAGATTTATGAAATAGCCATTAAATAGTTGTTTTGTTGTTGTTTTTTAAATCCTCACCCAAGGACATGCTTGGGGAGGGGAGGGGAGTTGTCGAGGGGAGGGGAGGGAACATCTATTGGATGCCTTCTGTACATGCTCCAACCACGGATCAAATCCGCAACCCAAGTATGTGCCCTGACCAGGAAATGAACCATCAACCCTTCAGTGCACAGGACGATGCTCACCAACTGAGCCACTCTGGTCCAGCTACATAGTTTTTAAATGACATGTTTCACCCTCTATTTATCATCTTAATTACTTATCATCTTACTTACAGAAGTCAAACTGAAGTCTTCATGAATACTTCCAAATAAATCAGGAGAAGAAACATCAACGGAAAGACTGAATATAAAAGCAAGAAAGAGAACAGTTACAATCAAAGCCCTAAAATTAAAAATGCTGATATAATGTTATATGTCAACTATACCTAAAAAAAAAAAAAAAAGTGAACCTTATGTTAATTTGGCTTTAAAATCTTTTGGTCGGTTCTCTGCATAGTGGGAATTGAGATGGCAGAGTAGGTAGATCCTGAGCTCACCTCCTCCCATGGATACAACAAAACTACAACTAATACACAGAAATAAACACAGGGAGACAGGCAAAATGAGGAGATGGAGAAATGTGTTCTAAACAAAAAAAGGACAAAATCCCAGTTAAAAAACCTAAATGAAATGGTGATTAAGCAGTCTAGCAAATAAATAGTTCAAAATAATGGTTATAGAAATGCTCAATGAATCTGGTTGAAGAATGAATGAACTGAGTGAGAAGTTCGACAAAGAGACCAGGGGAAAAACACACAACCGGAACTAAGAATATAATAACTAAAATGAAAAATATATACCATAGGGAATCAACAGCAGGTTAGCTGCTACAAAAGAAAAAATCATAGATTTGGAAGACAGAGTAGTAAAACATCAACTAATCAGAAGAGCAAAAAGAAAAAAGTTTAATGTATCTCTGGGACAACATCAAGCACACCAATATTTGCATTGTGAAGAAATGGGAACCCTCATGTACTATTGGTGGGATTATAAATTGATGCAGCCACTATAGAAAACAGTATGGCAGTTCCTTAAAAAATTAAAATAGCCCTAACCAGTTTTGAAAAGTGGATAGAGTGCGGGCCTGTGGACTGAAAGGTCCCATGTTAAATTCCGGTCAAGGGCATGTACCTTGGTTGTGGGCACATCCCCAGTAGGAGGTGTGCAGGAGGCAGCTGATCGATGTTTCTCTCTCATCAATGTCTCTAACTCTCTATCCCTCTCCCTTCCTCTCTGTAAAAAAATCAATAAAATATATTTAAAAAATTAAAAATAAAACAACCATACTACCCAAACTTCCACTCGTGAGTATTAATAAAATAAGTAAATACTTCAAAATCACTATTTCAGAATATATACGTAGCCTACCCTATGTTCATTGCAGCATTATTTACAATAGCCAAGAAATAGAAGCAACCTATCGATATTTATAGATGCATGAATGGATAAAGATGCTATGTCTCTCTCTCTCTCTCTCTCTCTCTCTCTCACACACACACACACACACACACACACACACACACACACACACAAAGACATAGGAATATTATTCGGCCATTTAAAACAGTGAAATCTTGCCATTTGCAACATGTATAGATGTAGGAGGTACTATACTAAGTGAAATAAGTCAGACAGAGAAAGACAAATACCATATGATTTTCTTTATATGTGGGATGTAAAAAAGCAAATCAAATGAACAAATAAAACAAACAGACTCATAGATACAGAGAACAAACTGATTGATGTGAGAGGGGAGGGTGACGAGGGAAAGATTAAAAAAGGTGAAGGGGATCAAGAAGTACACACTTCTAGTTATACAATAAATAAGTCACAGGAATGTAATGTACAGCTAAGGGAATATAGTGAATAATATAACTTTGTATGTAACAGATGGTTACTAGAATTATTGTGGTGATCACTTCATAAGGCATATAAGTGCTGAATCACTATGTTCTAACACCTGAAACTAATATTGTATATCAACTGTACTTTAATTTAAAAAATTGATCCTTTGGTGAAAAAAAATCAAATAACTTTCTGTAAGTTTCTAATATTTAACAATCAATAGCTCAAATTAGACACTATAAACCAGGGGTCCTCAAACTTTTTAAACAGGGGGCCAGTTCACTGTCCCTCAGACCGTTGGAGGGCTGGACTATAGTTTAAAAAAAAACTATGAACAAATTCCTATGCGGCAGTTGGACATTCTCTGAGGGGTCCCAGATTACGAGAGGTTGCAGGCTGGGCTGAGGGACCCCACCCCGCACGAATTTTGTGCACCAGGCCTCTAGTCTCATAATAACAACACCTCCTCAAGGTAGTGCTGTGGGAATGAAATGAGGCCATGCTGAGCTGAGAGCGGTGCCTGCCCCATAGCTAACACTCACAAGGCATTTGCTGTTCTCTTCCTTCCTCAGGCCTGACTAGCTGTCTCTTGCTCGCAAGGGGAAAGGAAGGTGGAGGGGCCTCCCCACCCACAAGTGAGCTCCTGAAGGCAGGGATCTCTGTCATTTTGTTCATGGCAAATACTGGAAGCTCGATAACTGTTTGTTGAATGAATGCATGACCCCTGCTTTGAGGCAGAGGAAGAAATTCAGGACAGGAGGCCCCTCACAGCTCGCTCAGACTCCTTCCCAACCCCAGCCATCTAGTCTGTTCATTCTTCTCATTTTTCCCAACTGTGTCCAAAAAACACCCAGACATGATCCTCAATGACCCCCCTTTATATTCTCACTCGTGCAAAGCTCGGGAATGGACGGTTGCTGTGGTCTAACCAGGAATGGCAGCTCTCTGAGGGGTAGGAGCAAATCCCGCCCCTGCGAGGGAGGGGCAGGGTCCGGATGTGTGCAAGGGCCCAGCTTCTCTTCTTTTTTAAATATATTTTATTGATTTCAGAGAGGAAGGGAGAGGGAGAGAAACATCAATGACGAAAGAGAATCTGATCAGCTGCCTCCTGCACGCCCTCTATACTGGGGATCCAGCCCTCAACCTGGGCCCTCAACCTGTGCCCTGACCAGGAATCGAACCCTCACCTCCTCGTTCATAGGTCAATGCTCAACCACTGAGCCACACCGGCCGGTACTGACTTCTCTTCTTGAATTTACCTCACAGTTGTAGGCTTGTGCGTCACTGACATCACTGTCCTTTTAGAGGAGGGGTCCTCAAACTTTTTAAACAGGGGGCCAGTTCACTGTCCCTCAGACCGTTGGAGGGCCGGACTATAGTTTAAAAAAAAACTATGAACAAATTCCTATGCACACTGCACATATCTTATTTTGAAGTAAAAAAACAAAACGGGAGCAAATGCAATATTTGTATTTGCATGTGGCCCGCGGGCCGTAGTTTGAGGACCCCTGCTATAATCTATCTATTACCAAGGGCCATATAATTTTGAGTTTCCTAATCCTGACTTAATTAAATTTAAAAAAAAATCACCAAGGGAGAAAATAACTCATAATTTAATTTCTAGGTATAGACTTACATAATTGAAATGACCATGACTATCAGAATCTCCACAAGGCTTTTTCAAGCTCACCTTCATATTCAACCATTTATAACTGAGTTGAGTTAGGGAATTAGTTAACAGCTCACAAGTGAACAGATATATAAAATTAAAGGAAAACTAGAAGAATTAAATATTTATTATGTCTCAGAGAGGTGACAGTTTCTATACTGAAAGGCAAAACCCAATACCAGGAAACAGAAAAACAGGAAAAAAATTCTTAATTTTTCTATTATGAATTTAACAGGCACTTATTTCAGTATTATGTGTGTCAGAGCATAAATCTTAGGTGCACAAAAGTTACACATGGCAATGTCATTCAGAAAAACTAGATTTAAAAAAAATCCTATAGAACAATCTGAAAAATATTAAAAAAAATAAAAGCATTATTGCATGGATTTGTAAATATCAAGAATCAAGATCTGTCTTCTGCAGTCCAAATAACTTAAGCCTGACCCAGAATTAACCTCACTAAAATAATTAGTCTTTAACAAGAATATTAGTGAAATCCTCTCCACCAGAATTATAAAAGTTAATGAATAAGTTATATACTTTAACTTTCTACTTTATTATTTATAAAACTTCGTTTGGATAATTACTGAGCTGATCATGTGTTCAGTTTACTCAACACTTCTCTAGTAATGATAAGTTCAGAAGATAAAGAAACTATGGAAAAAAACATAGGTCAAATATAGAAAACTATAATTTCTTATAATAATTTATCTCTCTTATTGGAAATCTTAGTATGTGATAAAAGACCAAATATATAACATCAGTCTGTATTTTCAATCCTCCTAAATGCATGAATGAGATTAATTTTAGTTTTACTTACTGTGTAGTATCTACATCTGCATCAGGCTTGGTGCTCAATTGTTCCAGACAATATATAAAAGTCTAAGTTAAAAAATAAGAAGTTTCAGTGACATGAGCTCTTAGATTCTAATCTATTTGAATATCCTATATAATAAAAGCCTAATGTGCAAATTGTTCTCTCAACTGGGAGTTTGACCATGGGGTGGGGCCAGCCGGCCAACCGCCCGCGGCCCCTCCCCCTATTTGGCCCTGCCCTGGACAGTGGTGGTGGCAGGTAGCCAGGGGAAGGGAGGCCCAGGCCAGCAGTGGCAGCAGGCAGCCGGGGGAAGCAAGGCCCCAGCTGGTGGCAGGCAGCTGGGGAATGGAGGCCCTGGCCAGCAGATGGCAGCTGCTAGGGTCCCTACCCGTGCACAGTATTTGTGCACTGGGCCTCTAGTTAAAAATAATTTTATCTATAACTAGGAGCCCAGCATATGATTCGAAAATCACGGTGTGGCCCTGCCTTTACACCCGAACCTGTCCACACAGAGCTCCAGTGCGCCTGGCCCAGCCTCCAGACCCTCTGGCCTTCTCTGGCCACTTCAAGCCCCACCCTCAGTCCCTCTAGTCACCTCGGGCTGGTCCCGCCTTCTCTGTGTGCCTCCCCGCTTCCGCCCAGTCCCCAGAGCAACGTGGCGGCTCCGCCCCGTCATGGTGCTGGAGGAGAGCATGGAAGCCTCCCGCCTGCTGCGCTGTGCTCCTTCCCCTGGCAGGTGGGCCGTGCGGCACTTAGAATGTGAGCGGTGGGTGGCGAAGGACTGGTGAGGGGGGTACTATGGGCTCTCACCCCTGCCCTCCCCAGCAAGGGAAGGTCCTGCCTCCTCCAGGTGCCTCCCCGCTTCTGCCCTGTCTCCGGAGCAACGCCCCAGCTAATATGTTAAAGACCTGGTCGTTACCCACTATGGCATATTGACCATTAGCATATTAGCTCTTTATTAGTATAGATAATAAGAGCGTAATATGCTAATTAGACCGAAGAGCCGAACGACCTTCCAGATGTCATTCCGGACATCCTTCTGAACGAAGCTGCGGCAGTGGGGGCTGAGGCAGAGGCGGTTAGGGGCAATAAGGCAGGCAGGCGAGCAGTGAGGGATGATCAGGCAGGAGGGAAAAGGGGTTAGGGGTGATCAGGCAGGCAGGCAGGCGAGCAGTTAGGGGCAATCAGGCAGGCAGGTGAGCAGTTAGGGGCATCAGGCAGGCAGGCAGAGTGGTTAGGGGCATCAGG